GTTATGGTATAGCCATCCGTTGTCCTGCCGAACCTCAGGTGAGAGTACGATTGGACCTGACCCTGGCACCGTCTCGCTCCAACATTTTTTGCCCGTACTGATAGGAGGGTGCCAGCCCCGGACTGGCGTCTATGCCAGACCCCCCTTTCACTACCACCACCACCACCCCTGGCCGTTTCGCAACTCTGGCAGTCCCAGACAGGCAGATCGTGTTGTTGGAGTGGATCCCTCCCAAAATCTGGTGCCCTCCCTGGGGTCGCCCGCGTTGGAGTCGCCTGCACTCGCGCGCGACCCGCCAGGCTGGAGCTTCTCTCCGCCCAACCGGTCCCCGTCGGGACCCAGGGATCGATCTGCGGTCGACCTGTGTGGTACACAACGTGCTGTGAGGTACACCCTGACTGGGATGCTTTTGGAGTAAATCTAGGGCGGCCCGCCCTTAATAGGTAGGTATAGTCTAGGGCGGGCCGCTCTATTTTTGCAGGCGTAGAAGTTTGCATAGTTCGTGGATCGGCCAATCCAACAAGGAGTGACTATAGAACATGATACCCCTGACTGGGAGTCCAAGACTGTTTATAGCAGTGAACAAATCCTGAGTGAAACATAGTGAAACAATGGTTCTTCGGGATTCGGGCTATCAAGAATCATGGGCTCACCATCCGATGGGCTTTTGAGCGGTGCACGTGTCGTCTTCAACTGCTCTCTCAGAGGCTGCCCGTCCTTCCAGTCTGACGCCGCGGTCCGCGGCAGTGGTGGTCGCTGAAAGGGAACGGCTCGTGCCAGGGGAGGCCCCACAGGCCCCCACAGTCCCATCAAAAACATGCAAAAACCTGGTTTTTCCCTGCAAAAAACACCCGACTTCAGTCCGGTGCTTCCTGGTGACAAGTCCCGGTGCCCAGGTTCACCACCTGTTAAGGTCTCCAAACAGCCTCGCCAGGAGGGTCCTGGTATAAAACACACGTTTTGTCATGTGTATGTGAACACCTTGGCTCTTCCCAGGCTGGGGCGCGATGAGGCGCTTGGAACTTCCGGACCCGGGAGTTTCGCAGAGGTAGAACCTATAGAAAACCATCAAACACCGGCGTCTATATCTATACTCGTAGCAAAACAGGAATGGTTGTTGATGGTGTTTGTAGGTGAAATTCTCTACTTGTTCATGGGTTTGAGGGCCACTGGTAGTTGGCAATCACACCAACAAAAACACCGAACCAAAACGCAGGTAGGTAGTTGAAGCCCTAGGTGATCGATCGTCGATTCTGGAGTCAGTCGATTGTTGGGGCTTTACCCCAAAAAACTTTGCAGACGTTTTGATATATTGTTCTTTTTACGCTTTTGAAGGTGCGGAAAGCTCCCAGATCGGCTGACGCATCATGTTGAATGTTTTGTTTTGGTTTTCCATTGTGTTGTTTTTGTTTCTTTCTGGTAGGGTTTTCATAATTTGCTGTAGCAGTAGTTGGTTCGCTGCTGTTGCAGCAGTTTGGGTGTCCTTGAAGAGGAAATGCAATGTTGTTACGGGCGCAATGCGGCGTGGCTGACCTTTGAACATATACATTTCGGCAGCAGGGCTGACACTTGAAAGAAACAGCAGTCGTAGCAAGCAAAGTATTTCGGAAGAAGTAGTGCAGATTTCGTAGTGGGTGCCAGCGCAGTGCAACGTGGTCGACATTTAAAGAACTCACATTTTCGTGGCAGAATAGGCTGCCAACCATTAAGAAAGAAGTTCCAATGGACAGGCTTAGCTGTTTTGCCAGCCTAGCTCCAGCAAAGGAACCAATAGGGAGTGATGAGTCAGCTTGAGAAGACATAGTGCAGATCTTGTTGATATCCAAGGAAGGCGACCCGTTCGGCCCGCCCCTCAAACCAACTGCTACATGTTGCTGAAGGGTCCAGTGACACGCATCTGCTTGAGTTTCGGGTCACCCGGAGGTCCTGCGAACGGGTTCGGGTTCGGGTTCGGAGGTCCTGAGCGTGACTGGGATGGTGCAGCATGGTGGATCCGTCCCCCCCCTTCGATCCTTCCGTCCGAAGCTGCGCACGTGAAGCAGAATCACCCAAACGCGACCCAAACGCGACAGCTGCCTGCAGAGCCATATAGGAAAGTATAGATGCCTCCACCGCACAAGGACCAGTTTTACGAGGTCACATTTTCTTTGACCTTCAAACACTTTCAGGTCACCACTTCCACAAAAAATTCTTTGGGCATTAAGGTCATTTCCATAGAGCACTTTTTTGGGTTCGATGGTCCTTATACATACATATGTGCATGCATACCGGAGACATGGTACCCATACGCTCACTTTTAGCGGTGCCATGCCTTAACCATGTCCACGCGTGCCAATCTTTTCTTGGTGTATTTTTTTGCGCACGTTGTTTGCTCAATTGACCAGTTACATGGCCACGATATACGTGGCTACGTGGGAGTCATGTTTGCTGCTTGCAATTGCACGCGTGCATTGTTCAAGCCGATGACAGTTCATCGTCAAATCGCATTAGAAGCTTGCAGGTCCCATGCTATAGAGTCACGCTAGAGTCACGCCCAATGATGTCCATGGCGAAGTTTTTGTAAGTAAAGGACGTCAAAAACTTCGCGGTTTAGGTGGGAGTCACGCGAGAGTCACGGTAGAGTCGCGGTCCCATGCCCGGGCCAGAAACGACCAATTTCAACCACATGCGTTGTCTGTGTTGTAACGCATCGACCTTGCTTCACACTAAAAAGATCTAGCAGCCTGGGCGTCACTTATATGATATGCATCTGATATGCATGCGCTTGTTGCCACAAATATTTTGTCTGTGCGATGTTCGCGCGATACGGAAAGTAGAGCAAAACGCTCCTGGAAAGCCATTGGTGCAGCATGTTGAATCACAATCGTGCCATGTATATGTGCACCATATATGCATAAAGTCAAAGACGTTTTTTACTCTTACCATTTGCCAAGTAAAAGACGTCTTTCACTAAGTAAAAGACGTCTTTTACTTGTTATAGTTGCCAAAGTAAAAGACGTCCTTTACGGAGTAAAGTCGGGCTTTCCACCATTTCCACGAAAAAATTTTGGAGGTCGAATTTTGCTATCAGTTTTGCAGAAAATAGAGCCCAGTAAAACGAGGCCTTTGGGGTGCCCAATCGAAGAATAAGCCGAATAATAAGCCTATCACTTCATCCTATATATCCAGTGATCTCCTTTTCACGACGACCGCCTTTGAAGCCCAGCATCATGATAAGATCGTTTAAAAAAACACACCAAAAACAGCTACTACTGTAGGAGAGGGGCAGGGTTTGTTTTCAGTTTTCTATTCAAGTCTTTCACTGGTTGTTGAACCCCCTACGGATCCACCGGCTGAACGTCAGCACAGTGGCGGCCGTGCGTTTGGCGGGTCCATGTTGAAGAATTTATGACAATATCACGTCTGGGTTTTCTTTGATTCGATCTACCATCTACTTCAGAAAGTTGACTAATTGAGCCTTTGGATCTTGGGAGGGGTTCAGTGAGCAGGCCTATGCCTCTTCCAACTGGACAAATGGTTCCTTTTTTCATCGATAAAACCAATCAAGAGGCAAACATGTTGCCTCAGGATGTTTTTAACTAAACAATAATTGTTTTGGAGGTCCGAAAAAACAAAGTACATGTTGATAGAGTTTCAGATCTCCTCCAAACATATTGGATCAACATGGGTCAACAATAATACTGCAATTGACAATATATGTGTATTATGAAGATCACCCAATTTTAACAGACGTGTTCCAGATTGGTAAGGTTAATTCAAGATGAAAGTTGTAATCGAGAAAACCCGTGGAAATATTAGGATAGACATAATATCAGACAATAAGATCCCAACACAAGACTCAATGTCCAAAAGTTAAGAGATGTAAGACATGAATATTTACCATAATATACCAGATATTGTTAATAAAAAAATATATATATATATATCTATAATTTCCTGTACTTGAAGGTGACAAAGTCACAAAAGAAGTTGTTTCTCAGAAGATGCTCAAGTAACCCCAGGCAAGCCACTGTGCCTAAAGGGAAATGAGATTGGAGGGTGACTTTTAAAGAAGGATCCAATACACCCAGGTGGAATTGCAGGTCTGGGCGGATTTGTTCGGGTGGTTTTGGGGAGATCGGTGTCTCTCCCACCCTACGCCTCCAATTACCTCCTCAGAAGGTAATTTGGAACCTCCAAACCCACCTCAAACACCTTCTGAAGAAGGTACTTGGAGGTGTAGGGCCAGTCCCATTCGGTGGGATTTCTGCTCTCCGATCCATCGACTGTTTCGGCCGCCTAAGTCATCTTCAGAGGCATCAGACTTCGGTGAGCATTTGGGTTCGGGAGCTGAGAGGAAGTGACAAGGGAGCTTGGTGAGTCAATGAGTTTCTGTTCTATTATGTTTTGTATACCAGTTCATACCGCGTTTGTGACACGAATTCAGGGCGACACATGTGGCACCAATGGTGGACATCAGCCTGGGCCGGAGTGAACCGATCTTCCCAGACGCGACCTATCGACGGGACTGCCAGACGGACTGCCAGACGGACACGGCACCACCCCTGTTTCGGGGGTCTGTCTGGGGCGGCAGTCCTATGACAGACATCGGTCGTGTCTGGGATTGATCATTCCCCTTTCAACCACCCCAACTGTTTCAACAATCCCCTAGTCAGGTGGTTTATAACATGCATCATTGTTGGACCTCCATTTGAGGTCAGCGCCATCTACTCTGAAACCAATAAGATGTCTTCCAATTCCTCATTGATCAATGCCTTCATCCAAACATGAGGGTCGAATAATACTGACCAACTGGGCATTTGTTGGGGCTCTCCTTTGGGCAGAACAGTCCCACCGGTGCCGCTGGTTGAAACCATGGTGAACCCTCCGCTCTTCGCCGAAGCAGAACATGGACGACCCTCCCAAAACCACTCCAACTGATCATGCCAATCCTTTGGGAATCTGCTTGGACTCGTCCAAACGTCCCCATGTCCCAGGTCTACTCTTGCTCATAGAGTCTGGGGGGTTCGAACCAATCCCGTTTGGACGGACCGGTGAAAGGGCTGTTTTCACGCACCGTTTGGGCAAGGCGTTTGGCTCCAGTGCACGTAGCTTCCTCCTCCCGCTTTCCACGACGGTCTGGACCGTTCCGTGTGGCTCGAAGATGGCGCTCTATACCTTTATTCAAGTGGAGGAGGCCCTTCCCAGCGACCCTAGACCGGATCTTGTTTGGGACTGAGTGACCAGTTACCAGGGGTCATGAACTCATTATGGAATAACATGGGATGGTGTTTCTTCCAGTCCCTGACATTGTATGGTCTGGGGACGGATGTTTCAGCAAGTCGTGCGAACTGCTGGAGCTTGTTTCGTTCTGCTGCTAGAAGTTAATCCCAATGCATCCATGATGTATGGAATATATAGTTGTCTACTACATGGATGGATGGGTCAACTTCACGGATTAAATGTGTTGCAACTATATATATATATATATGCGAGTTTCACGCATGATTTTGGAAATGGTTCAGAAGTGGTGAACACCACAAAACTTTTGGGAATCGGTAGAAGTATTTGGACACGACTTCAAGTACTCTAGAATAAGTGACATGACCCAAACAACCAAACAGACTGTTTGTATCCATTTTTAGATGTAATTGAATTAGTCGAAGACCAGGTATATGTCATTCTGACAGACACCTTAAAGACAAACAATTGCTTTATGCCCAAAACACCACTCTGAGAAAATTACCGTCGGTGGAGAGATGAAACTCTGAGACGTGGTTTGCAACGGTATTTTTAGAGTGTTTCGAGTGCCACCAAGTCGTGCGAGGAGGCCAACAAATGATTCCCACGGTGGTGTTGGCGAGTCCAGAGTTGGGGTTGTAGTCAGTTGGACTTGTTCACACTCTCACCTGCACAAGCGCCTACAAGCTGCCAGCTAGGTTTGAGTTTGGGTCTAGTGACGGAGTGAGCTCCATGCAAACCCAGCCATTGAAACAAGTCGCTATGCCTCTATCTAAGAAACACATGAACAACTAACATAGTAGTCGCTCTTACACTCGGTCAAGCTTGATACATGGCTATATATGATGCTATATGACCTATGTCCCAGACACTCCATGGGACTGGCATATCATCACATCCAGTCCTGTGTCTCGCCAGTCGACAGCGTCGTCGTCTGCACGGCGCAGGGCACACTCACGGGTCAGGACGTCCATCGAAACTGAGGAAGGGAGACCCCCAGATCGACCCGGTTTTGCCTGAAACCATCAGGGCCTGGCCCCATGGATACTATAGTAGACTGTACATGGATACTACCCAGTTTGAAGCACCCGGACCCACTCCATCTCTTTCATTGGATCCTCCTATCTGTCGCCTGCGCTGCTCAACTGCCTTCCCTCGCCATCCATCGCTGAAGATGAGCCTGGCGCTCCAGGTGATCAAGCTTTTGGAGGCCGAAGGTCTCACTGGAGCTCAATGGCTGGACCAGACTCCCAAGGAGGAGCGCGGGAGCACCAGGGCGGACGGCTTGGTTGGCTGCGTGGCCGGGGACGGGAGAAGAACGGGAGGCCGGGGGGTCGGTTCGAAGGGGGTGAGGTTGGACGGGAACGTTGGAAGTTGGTGGGGTTTCGGAGGGGGAGTGGAGGAACACGAAGGTGAATGAGTTTGGGTTTGAGGTGTGTAGAAGGACCGACCTGCAATTTGTTTATTGACATGCTGGTTTTAAGAACGGGCCGGTGGTTTTCCAAGGAGCCGTGCAAGTTTTAGATACAGAGGAGCACGGGCGATGCTGGGCGCCCAAGAGTCTCGAAAAAGTGGCTTTCCTACACCCCATGGTCTGGAGAGTGAACTGAAACTGGGAGATCCCCTTCTTCCCCAACCAATGATTTTTGGTCCATGTTGCTTCTTCCAAGGCGACCTGGAGAGTCGTTCCTCCCAAATTCTCCTGGAGACCCCCCAACAAAATTGAAGACACGCCCATCTCAGAAGTGGAGTCCAATCATCATCAGCAGCTGACCCCAGTCATATTCTATGTTTATTTCGGGTCAGGTCTTCGGTACTAATTGGAGACTGTCGGGGCACTGGCTCTTCATTTTCGCCTCGCTTGATGCTTGGAACCCGTGGGATACGCCAACTGACGAACACATCACTTGGAAGTGGATACATTCCATTATAATTAGTGAGGAAAAGTGTATCCATGGGGGAACAAGTTGATCAATACTCAATCAATACTCAATACTTCTTCCTGGACCCTCACTGTACGAAACTTGCGCAAATGAGCCCACAAAGAAGAGGTCGCCAATTTTAACCTGTAAAGGGCTCCTGTCCCAGCAGCCACCCGACCCCAACGATGGGTTTCTTCTAGGGGCCTTACAGGTATCAAAGACCTGGGTTTTCCCTAATGTCGACGTAGAATTAAAAAACGCGGCCCCCCCCTTCAAGGTCAACAAGGTCTGAGATTGGAGGTATTGGAAGACCACATCCCCTTAATAAAGATGACCTGATGATGGATGATGAGATGATGACCTGGACCTGATCATGGATGATGGTTGATGGGATTTTTGTGCCATGAGAAGCCATCAAAAGGATGAGGCAGCTGAGAGGTGGTGTTGAGAATCAGGAAGATGAGGAGATGAAGATATTGACTACTAGCAACAAGAAAACAATAAAGAATTACACATACAATAGTAAACTATATGTTTTTCTGGGGCAGCTGGGATTGATTAATAGAGGGGGTGGTCCTACTATTGGTGGGGTAGGGCCTGTGTGAGGGGTAGTACCCTTTGTGAGCTTGAAAAAGTTAAGGTTTTGATAGAGTTTTAATAAGGGAAATGAAAGACTTTTGCTAGAGAGTTTTTTGGGGTTTTGGGGGATGGTTGGTAGCATGAGACCTGAGGAGGAGCCATCAAAAGGATTTGGTGAGCAGGATGAGGCAGTTGAGAGGTGGTGGTGAGAATCAGGAAGATGAGGAGACGAAGATATTGAATACTAGCGAAAAAAGAAAACAATAAAGAACTATAGATACAAAAGTAAACTATATGATTTCTGGGGGAGCTGGGATTGATTAACAGGGGGAGGTCTCTGGTAGAGAAAAACATTATTGGGGAGATGCCAAAGTGGAAATCTAGGTTTTACATTAGTTTAGTATTGGGGGGGTCTAGCTGGGATTGATTACTAGGGGGTGGTTACTTAATCCTATGTCAAGTATATGATAACCTGCATTTTGTTTATTTTGAAACCTGCCGGGCCACTGGTTGGAAACGGTTTAAACATGCGCAACGCAGGTCTTGTCCTACCGGACCCGGCCCTCCAGGTTGCTCATTTGCGCATGCAAAAAACCGAGCGAAGAGTCTCCTGGCCACCGCGCTAGGAGGCCATGCCCTTGGAGCCTCAGTGGATCAACGTGAAAGAGACCCAGGCCAACCACGGAGGTCACCAGGTGTCCATTAATCTATAGCCCCCCAAACAGAGATCCTTCGGGGTGTTCATGAACCACCCCGAAGTCAAGGGGAAGGTTCCTATGTTTTTGTTTTTCCGGGACTCTCTTCACGAGAGCCAAGCGCACGCCGTGGGCGACCCTGTGTTCTTGATTGGTTGGTTGCAGGATTCCTGCGAAGAACCCAAAGAACCACGCCATCCGCCATCCAAGACCATCAATAAGATGGTGGACCTGTGGACCTGTGGAGAGGTAGGTTTTTCTGGCCAGAAAATGGTTGACCTGTACCCGGACTTGATGTGTTCTACAACTTTAAGCTTCTTGTAAAGGCAACAACTTGGTGATCTGAAGGGTTACATACTGAAGGGTTAAGCTTGCTTCGACTGATCCAAACATATCCAAACCTTTTGGATGGACATCATCCACACCGCGCCTCCCCCACCTGGCAGGTCTCCTCCCACCCTGGCAGGTCTTTCCTGAAGCTTCTGCAGGAGGTCTAGGACCGAACTTCGTCACCTCGGGACGAGACGACGCGACGACGTCGGACTGGAGTGGTTTCGAGTAGACCTGGACCTTCGAAAGTTGGAAAAAAACAGTTGATCTACCTGGAGCCCAAAATCCCCCTTCCTGAGTATCCGTTTTCTATGATCAGACATCAGATGATAACGGCGCGGGTCTCGCAACATCGTGTCCGAAAAGGGGTGCGAACGCCTTCCTCTCTGCTCACTCACTCACTCACTCAGACCTGACGCCTCCGCCGGAGGTTTGATCCAAAACGAGCCTCCTTCGACATGCTTTGGTTTTGTAAAGAGACACTCCATGTCTGTCATATATGCCTATAATTGACCCTTCAAACCACACCAATGTAGATAAATAGTCCATAAATACATGGAGTGTTTGGGGTATGGTTTTGCTCATTTTGTTCCCCACCTGCCAGATGAGGGTTGTTAGATTTTATCAGAGCTCTTCTCCTTCTCTCCTCTCCTCTCCTCCTCGTCTCCTGAACAGCAAGCGCCAGATCGCAGTGGGCACTGCCGGACCTCAACAGCAAGCGCCAGATCGCAGTGGGCACTGCTTGACGTCAACAGCAAGTGCCAGAGAGAGACAATGAAAGAAGGAAAAACATATAAAGAAATAACGAGTAGCAGCAAGAGAAAACAGACAAATAAAGAACGACAAAATAGCGAAAGAAAGAAAGGTGAAAGAAAAGAAAGAAAGTTATTGAAAGAAAAGTAAAGAAAGAGAAGTCGATAAATAGAAAGAAAGAGAAGAAAGAAAAGACATAAATACTAAAAGGAGAAAGGAGAAAGAAAGAAACAGAGGCAGAAGGCAGAGAAAAAGAGAAAGGTAAAGAGAGAGGAAAGAAATAAAGAAATAAAGAAATAAGTAAAGAAAAGAAAAAAGAAAAGAAAGAAAGAAAGAAAAAGGACAGAAAGAAAGAGTGAATGAAAGAAAGAAGCAAGCCAACAAACAAAGAATGCATATGTTTTGTGTTTGTTTTATTTGTGTTGCTCCGACGTCGGAGCGTCATTCTAAACACACAACATTTGTCAATGTTCTTGCTGCATCCAAATGCAGCTTTGCCATAACTGTTGGTGTTTGTTTCTCCTGCGTTGCATTGATGTGCAGAAACTGTGGTGTATATACATTAGTTAAACTTGTATGCACAATATTTATTTATGCGCATGTCGAAGTTTTGAGTAAAGCATAGAGGAGCGCGTATTCATATCGAGGATATTTCTGCTAGTAACAGTTTCATGCATCCATGAAGGTCTATGTTCATATTCACAAGTATTTGGAAGTGTCCAGTGTGGCTCAGGTGAACATGTCACGTGCCCCAAGTTTCCGTGCAACCATGGGTCTGGGTGAAGGTCGGCATCTCAGTCATGCAGAGCATGGCCAGAAAAGATAACATTTTCATATTGTCATATTGCTTGTCTTGCCATTCGGAGTACGTACCGCCGATCTGGACATGTGCTCACTTCAGCGCAACCATAGAAGAGATCAAGGCCAGGAGGGGCTAGGATCCCTCATTGGCAAAAAGTTCTTGTGACGATGAACGCGTGCTGTTGCACATTTTTTTTGCCGGACTCACAGATGCTGCGCAGCAAGAAAACATGGACGGCGCGGACTGGAGAAGTTTTCGCCGATGTAGGCCGCCGTCGTGTGAGAAAGGACGGAGTCGAAGAGATGGTGACATGGGCACATGGTTCATTGCAGCATGGAAATATTTTCACGGACAGGAGAACGTGCTTTTGCCCCTGCTGCTCCAAGAACGAGTCATACAAAATAAAACTGTGCACAACCGCGGCTTGGGTCCTGGTCTTTTCAGTCAAGAAAACGCCGATTACGGCTATTTGGCTAGTTGCCAAGCCCTGTCTATCAGGGTACAACACACGCCGCACTCTGACGTTGGTTTGCTGTTAACTCAGTTCCCAAGTCAAAGAAAGGTGGTGGAACAGAAAGGCCAAGAGTCCAAGCATTTGTAGGTGTTTGAACAAAGTGGTTTCACACTTGACTGCGGAAGCTAGCTACTGCATTAGCCCTTTACTGCAAGAACGGTAAGGTGCAAGGGTCCGAAGAACAGAACTGTTTAACAAACGCACTAGCACTTTACCAAAGCTAAGGAAACCTGTTTTGGGGGATATCATGCGAACAACCACCATGGAAACAACAAAAGGAAAAGTGGTGTCACAGCGTGTGCAAAAGTTTTCATCCGCGCAGGTACAGAAGTTTGCGTCCAAACTTCCATCCAGTCTATTTCCCTAGCTTCGTTGGACTAGGAAATCGACCGTCACGCCCCCTGCGACTTAAAAGTTGAGAAAAGCAGAAACTTTTAGTTACAGAGGTGGACACACACACAGAACGCCGATATCGGCGCTCTGGGGGAACTTACTAATCACCTAAAAAGCCTTAGAACGAAAGGAAAGAAAGACAGAAAGGAAAACGCAAAGGAAAGAGAGAAAGATAGGTGTAGTGACAAGGCCCACTAGTTACGAAACCTGCTAGTTACTGACTACTTAGCCGCATGAATTAAATGCACTATAGTTAGCGAGCGGGACATACGTCTTAAACCGCCCGGGTAACTAGGAGTAGAAAAGGAGAAACACAAGGAAAGGTACCGACACACAAGTGTGTCGAGTACCATTTCCTTCTGTTACCCTAGATAGCGGTGGGATAGAAACACGAATTAGGTTGCAAGGTGGGGGGGGTGTGGAAGTGCAAGTAAGGACAGACACAAGGAACCGTAACGTGTCCGATCTCAAAGTGGTCGTGGTTGGAAATGTGAGACAGTACATTCTTGAAAGTGAAATCAAGCTGCAAACATGAACGTGAATCTGATCAAAGAGAGTAGAATTGCCGTGAAGCCCGGCGGCATAAGTTGCAGGGAATACAGTGGTGAAACTAAATCCGTTAAGAGAATCCAAGGTCTGGTGGAGACGGTCAAAGCAGTTACACGAATTCCGGAATGAAAACGGCGCCTCCTTGCGGAGGATCCACCCAAGTGGACGACTGAGCGAGTCACACTCTGACGTTGGTTTGCTGTTGACTCAGTTCCCAAGTCAGAGAAAGGTTGTGGAACAGAAAGGCGAAGAGTCCAAGCATTTGTAGGTGTTTGAACAAAGTGGTTTCACACTTGACTGCGGAAGCTAGTTACTGCATTAGCCCTTTGCTGCAAGAACGGTAAGGTGCAAGGGTCCGAAGAACAGAACTGTTTAACAAACGCACTAGCACTTTACCAAAGCTAAGGAAACCTGTTTTGGGGGATATCATGCGAACAACCACCATGGAAACAACAAAAGGAAAAGTGGAGTCACAGCGTGTGCAAAAGTTTTCATCCGCGCAGGTACAGAAGTTTGCGTCCAAACTTCCATCCAGTCTATTTCCCTAGCTTCGTTGGCGTGACTAGGAAATCGACCGTCACGCCCCCTGCGACTTAAAAGTTGAGAACAACAGAAACTCTTAGTTGCAGAGGTGGAAACGCACACACACACACACACCTTTTCTTCCTGGATTTCCTTTGCTTTTTTCGGCCTAAAGACTTTGTTCTGTATGTCAGGTTCTTTTAATCAAGGGAGCGCTGAATTTCTGTGCGCCGGATTCACGGCTGTGTGTGTGCACATCCCTGTTTCTAAGGGACCCACAGCACTTTCTGAATTTACAACATGCAGGGGGCTCTTCCCTGCCGAGAGCCAACAAAGACGCTCATGCAGTGCTTGTGCAAGCGTACTTGCTTTTGGCCGCACCTGGGCATCTAAGTGCAGCTGGCGGGTCACACGCTGTTGGTCCCTGCTTTTAACTAGAACAACTTCTTCCAGCCTTTGCAGCGGTTTCTGCACTTGTGTTGAAACCTGTCAGGTGAAGGCGGACTCATTCATTTTTTGTTGACTTAGCCAAGGTCTAAATGCACTGATCTTAAGTGCTGATGCATCGGCGAAACATTTTCTGAATCTTGCTCTTGCGAGCTATCTAATTATCTAAGCGTGTTTGTTCGCCAAACAAAGTTCATCAGAACTCAAGTTTTGGACGTAAAGTGTTTGTACCCCAGACCGTCCATGTATGGCCTATTTACCTGTACAGGCATTATTTCCAGTCCCATGGATGGTAGTGTCTGTCAACTACTGTAAAATCTCCAAACAGTGTGAGGTGCATCATCAGCGCTACAAGGATCATATAACCTTTTTGTGAGTTTTGGGGGGTCACCCGGCGATCACCTGAAAAATCGTTTGGTGTCGAAAATATCAAACGCGCCACGCAGCACGCAGTGCACGGAACCTTCTATTTTTGATGTTGTTTCATGCGCAGAGCGAAACCATCGGTCTCAGGTCGGTTGGTTGCAGAAACAACATGACTCAGCTACCAGTGGCCCGGGCCGGTTTTCCATGAAAAACATCTTGTTTATTGCTGAGGGACACATGAACAACATATTTGTTTGATGGGCCATGTATGGCCATGTGTGGCTCCTGGTACTTTGGAGACTCCAAGTACCCATCTTCAGAACGGACGGGTCGCGACCGCTGTAAAAGAACGCATCACCATACCAGTGGGAGGGTATGGCGGATCCATGGTGAATCCATAGGGTAGAAGAAGAGTCCAACCTCTCAAGTTTCAGACGCGTTTTCCTTCCATGTCAGTGAATGAGTTGGACATACGATCATTTTATCCCAAAGCACCCATGATTTAATAAATGAATTGTATATGACATATAGTCATGTTCAATGTTCAACCGTATGTTTTTGAAACGCGGCGTTGTGTGACATCCACTTCCCCTCGATTGACAAGTGGTCGGGTTGTTTATGTTTTGTGAGGTCAGACAAGGAATGGCGGGCACAAATATGTTTTGTTTTGCAAGACACATGTTTTCCGGGAAGGCCATTTGATCAATAGTCGATGAAACTTAGGTTTGGGTGTGACAACAATGAAACAAATAAACCCATCTGGCAGGACATCCGGAGTTTTGCGCGAGGCCATGCGTCTATTTCAGCGCCTTGGTCGAGTACCTAAAAAGACTGTCTACCGAGAGTGTCCAATTTGTGCAAACCAGACCCTCACCGTTGGCTGGATCTTTGGTCGGACGCATAGAGGTGCAACATCATTTGGGTGGCCTTATCTCGATGGCGTTTCCGTCGATTTCCGCACGGCCTTTCAAGGGGTATTTGAATGTAAACATGTAAGACATTGTAAAACTATACACTAACATTCAAAAATGTTCAGCAATATCTTAAATATAATATTCAATATCTCACACCAAAACTCCAAATAGAGTGCCACATCGGCGATCATCCGTCATTTGAGCACTTGTCACACCGCTGGCCGGGTGTGGGGCTGCACTCCCAAAGGCGTTGGAGGCCAAGCCACTTTGGAGCTCACTGGGCGCCTTAGGGACAAATGGCCGTGCTGGTTTGGCGTTAAGAACGGACCGAGGTGTATGGAGGGAAGGCCATGCCACTGGCGATGCGTGATCATGTTCGCATTCACATAATGTATGCAGTGCAGGTTCTACTCGGTAAGGTATACTGTGCAATTAAGTGTCTTTTTTGGTTTGATACTACCACATGCCACATCCTATCCTGAATGTGATTGGAAACGATCAGAGATTTGATTTTGAGCCAATCCTCATTGTTCAATAGCTTGACCTGATTCCTGATATGTTCGTATTTTGGCAAGTTCCGCATCTAGTGCTGTCCACCCAGTAGGGCACGGAACAAGCTATCAATACTCCTGTCCGCATCTGTAGATGGTTCTTCTATGCAGCTTAGGTGTTATGAGTTCACTAAGACAGCAGTATTGAGCTTTGTCATACTCTGTTTTTTGTTGCTTTTCATGTTGAATGATGCTTGCTCCAAGTTGCTGGCAGTCATGGTAATGTTCTTTTCTTGCGCTCGAAGGAATAACATTTTGTTGATGCCCTTGTTTCTGACGCCGTGGCTGTCCCTTTGATGTGGGAGTCTCTCCTGCTTGGCCTGCATGTCCTTTGCAAAGGTGTAACAGCAAACGGACACATTTGTCGGGCTGAAGGCAAGATCATGCTTGTTTGCAACATGCGGAACATGCACCATTCATGGGACAACCGTGTCCTTAATCGTTTGGAATGTTTTACTTCTTTGCCGGGGCCCCAGCTACAACTCTCCCCAAGTCGATTGGCAACCTGCACTGCCCTTGTTGGTCAATGTCATGCGTTGCTTATGTTCAGATGTTTCTGCGTGACAGCTGCTGCCTGTCACGGTTTTGAAGATGGTCTTAAGCCCTACCCAACAAGTGCTTTGGCGCCAAATCGGCGATCATCCGTTGTTTGACGAGCACTTGTCACACCGCTGGCCGGGTGTGGGGCTGCACTCCGAAGACTGCTTTGTAGTGAACGCTCCAGGTGGTCTTGGCGTTTGAGGCCAACCCACTTTGTGCCAAGTGGATGACAGTGAGGCGATGGGCTAATGTGCTCACTGGGCGCTTGTTGGTGTAAAGCGAAAGTTTCGCGAGAGTCGCCTGATTGGCGTATCTCCACCAACTCGTTGTGTGTGGAGGGAAGGCCATGCTTCTGGTCATGTGATCGTGTTCGCATTCACACATGCTGTGACTGCAGTGGCAGGTTTATCTCGGTGCGTTTCATTCAATCTTGTCAGGTGGATAGTGTAGATCAAGGATCTTGTACGATAACGTTTCTCTGAGGGATTTCCCCGGAGTCTCGGAACTATAGGATGAACCAGGTCTTAGCTTTGTGTGTTGTGGGTAACGGTAGCAGCTTTGAGCATGTTGGCGGCTACCTGGGGTATGGAAGTTGCCTCAAGTGCTTTGGCAGCCAGCCTGAACCATTGAACTTGGCGATGTTTTCGGATGGTTGTGCGATACGGCTGGGTGTGGGCTGTGGGAGTTGCTAATGACCGTCTTGAGCCCTGTCTCTTCACTTTTCTCACTGAATCATGTTTGCTAGATGTTGCTGGCAGCGATCGCAATGTTTTTTTTCCTGCACTGATAAGAGGAGCCTTTGCGACAACTGCCATTGTTTCTGACACTTTTGCTGTTTTGATTCCGATGTTTGAGAGCAAGTCCTACGTTCGAGCCCTGCAAGTCCTTCCGTTTACAAGAAGCCGACTCTTCGACGCGACCCGCCGCGACCGGCCGTCGCACGGTCTTATCGGATGATGAGGCGCCGTGGACGATGTCAGATGTCCTTGCAATAGCTGTTGAGCTTTAAGGTGTTGTGTTTTTTTTAGTTGAGGCGTTCACCTGCGGTCTAGGTCTATAGCTATTTTTTTTCTCGACTTACACTAATGGATATAGATATAGATAGTTCTTGAATGCGCTTGATGGTTTGCTATATTCAGCCAGGATTTGCTTGGTGATGCTCAAGGTGATTTTTTCTCTCTTCCCTTTGGGTAAATCCCCAAACCTGGGAAAAAGGTTGTTTGAGTTTTGTTTTCCAGTTCCATATGCACTTACACTTCCACTTACACTTCATGCAGCTAGCCTAGGTCAGTTCATGAAGCAAAGCAGCAGTTTGTAGGTACCCTGGACCGAGCGAAACAAACCTCCGTACGTCCGAGCAACTCCCCCCGAGGCAAAGGCATGTGCCGCAACGGCGCCGAGTGCGAGTATTGTCACTTGCCCCACGTGTCCAATCCCAAGCTCGACAAGCGACAGCGGACGATGGTGCAAGGGATGCGCCTTGGACGATTTCGTCAATTCCGAAGCTCCCACGCCCTCCCTCGGCCTAGTGGCGTCGTACCGAAGCGGAGGAGGACGAGCGGGGGTGCGGGGGTGTGCCAGGAGGGTCCAGGAGCTAGCGAACCTCAGGAGGTACGACGAAGTCGGTGTAGGGTTTAGGTGGCTGGTTCCGCTGATCCTGTGTACCAGCTACCTGACTGGCAGGGTTACGAACATTGATGAGGTCATTCAGGGTGGGTGTTTCTCGTTAACCTGGACCCGACCGGTGCGTCACTGACTTCAGGGTTGCTATAGAAGATTATCATACCCTACGGCTGGGATCCAAGTACCTTCTCAGAAGGTAATTGGACCCTCCACACCTACATCACAGTGTCTCCAATCACCTTCTGAGAAGGTGTTTGGATCCCTAGGGATATATGGAGAGAAAGGCCTGCAACTGAACCAAACGAAAATCCACTGGAATTGGGATTGATATACCCGGTATACCCAATCTGCACGGATGATTTTGACTTGTGATTACCCAGGGGTGTCGTACCTTCTCATCAGTTTTTTACGGACAAACATAAACAGCTCCTGCTGAGGCCCAAGTTCGACCTTCTCACGCTGGTGCATGGGGCCTTGCAGCTCAGAGCCCAGCGATTGAAGAAGAAGAATGAGGAGTTTATCATCGAGGAGCCTGCGGGCGAAGAACGGTTGGGCGGGTTGGCGTTGAAGGGTAAAGGCTACGGCTGAAGTACGTACCCGCTCTTTGTTGGAAGGGGTTCAGCAGCCTGAATGATTGAAGGTTAAGGTAAATTACCTGGATGTTCCATCTGTCTGTGCAACATGTCTGCCTTTTGCCGATGAATGAAAAGGCAGAAATTCTGGCACAGTTGGAAGATCCAGGAAGTTGGTGTTTCAGTGAGCGTCAAACACCTCCAAAAGACATGAGTTGTGTTGAAACATGGATCAAAACGATGGTGTTGAGTCCGTTTCATCATGGTGTTGGGGATCCTCAACTCGACACGGTTGTTCAGGTGGACTCAACATAAGTTTCATCATGCCCATCCGGGATCCGTTTTCGTACCGAACCTCAGGTTCGGTACGACTGGACCCGACGAGGGCACCTATATAGCAGTGTCGAACACATCACCTAACCTGAGAAGGTACCAACAGAGGTTGAAGAAGCCTATAGACTATCCTATAGGTACCCCAGTAAGGTCCTAGTTCAGGTCACTTAACCTCTCTTGGTACGAAGACGGATCCGTGGATGGTGTTCATCCATGTCGTTCACTCCTCGCCGCTCCGACCACTTGTGGCCACGAGTCGACGTCGCATCGACGTCGCACCACCCGTCGAGTCGACCTGTCTGGCAGATGAGTATGATGATTTGACCTAGTAGATTGACCTCTTCGTCTAGCCATCCAAATGCATGGATGGTTGGGGCCAGTTTGCTCCAGTTTCCTCCAACGCCCAGGTGGTTTTTGGTGCTCAATGTTGGACATGCCACCATGGAGCGTTTGGGTATTTGTTTGTTACTTAATGAAAGAAGATGAAGAATGAACCAAAAGACTGAAATCCTATTTATGATAGCATTCTACTTAGATTTCCACCATGTTCCCTCTATTCATTTCAGCCATTTTCCTTGACCACTTTTTGACGCCCTTCCTGATGCCTTGCTAAGCCGCAAACAGTTTCTAGATGTGAACAGTGGGTCGCTCCATGTATGACAGGAGTTGTTGGTTCTCTTGCAGAAGGAGATCTCAGCTCTCAGCCTACAGGACTGTGCGCCTGTGCGCCCAAGTCAGGAGTATTGGGAAATGAATGTTTTTTCATCCACATGCTGGGCTATGTCAGGAGTATGTCAGAACTACTGGGACAACACAAATGGATTCAGAAACAGATAGGATTGGTATGTGATGTTCATGATGTTGAATGTTTTCACGTTTGAAAACGCCTGCAACCGTTTGGTGTTTTCAAAAGGGGTCATGTTGTGAGGGCCTATGACAACACGTGCTTGCCGCCGGTTTTCCATTCCCAGTCGAAATATGAGTTGCTGCCTCATGAGTTGCTGCGAGTTTCGGCCACTTCCCTGGTGTCGGCGCCGGAAAACGGCCCCTAACACACCAACCCTAGAGATCCAGTCGTACCTTCTCAGGTTAGGTGATGTGTTCGACACTGCTATATAGGTGCCCTGGTCGGGTCCAGTCCTACCTTCCGAGGTTCGGTACCAAAACAGATCCCGGATGGGCCAGAGATCGCAACCTTCTAGCTTGGACAAGAGAAACGGCCTATGTTGCTAGGGGTATGTTGCTGCGGCTTCCCGAGGATGGCCAGTCTCCACTCAGGTTCAAGGTCGCACTTGCTTTCACCTTTCTGGGCTCTATGGCCGTTCGTACCCCGGGAACATGGCCGGATGGTTTGGTTCGGGTCATGTCCCATTTTCCCGGGTACGGAGGGTTCAGGTATGTGAAACACCGGAGGACTCCGTTTTGGTCTGACTGCCACAGGACGCCGTGATGTCGACGTCCAAGCCACTTGGAGGTTTGGACGAGTGAAGACGGAGCTTTGCAAGCCCTACAAGTCAATGACCTCTTACTGGAGTTGGTCATACAAAGAAAAAGCAATACGAAAAAGAAGTCAAAAGACTAGGTCAGATCGACTTGTAGGGATAGTTTTGCTTTGCGTCTGTGCCGGACTCGCCTTCTGTGCCAAATGAAACTTCCCCAACGGGGTCACAACTCAGCCGAAACCCTCGTCGAATCAGACGCCGAAAAACTTCAAGTTTTTTCAAAGGCACGGTTCTTGAATCCCGCCTTCTACCAGGAAATGTCTGCCGTTTTTCCCGGGAATTTCCACCAGTTTCCCGGGTATTTCTGCCTTTTTCCCAGACATCTTTGCGCCAGGTGTTTTCAACTTTGGACTTGTTTTACTCTGTGTGTGCTCATTCCGCACAAGAAACCTTCAAAAACAAAGACACATATTATATATAATATTATATTATGATGGTAGCCAGATTTGCAGGCGGAGGTGGACAAGGGACCGTTCCAGGCAGAAATGCACAATGTACAAAAATGTTCAACTCCTCTATATAGAATATGTAGTCTCTCACTGGATTCTTGAAAGGGAACATTCGCGGCAACAAAAACATTTCCGCGGCAAAAAGTTGATTTCCGCCCCAGGACGGGAAGAGCCGCTCTTCCCGAAAAAGGCAAGAATTTCTGCTGAAAGGATCTTCTGGGTATGGAATGGAATGTTTGGAATGTAATTATATACTCAAAATTGTTTCAAATTGTTCACACAGACCCTAGCCTTTTGTTCGACCATCAATAAGAGTTCGAATTCCTCCTATCGTCTTCTGGTCTAAAATCCTTCAAACAAGAAGCTATTTTGGGATTCAGACCCCGAAAAATGGATGCTAAGTTTGCGGCCTGTTCCGGCTTGTTTTGGCGCTTCAGTTTCAATGTCGACCCTAAGAATCAAGAAGCCTCAGCCGGTGAAGGTGTTCAGGGTCCCCTGCATTTTTGCAGGGTCAAACCCCTCCAGTTTGGAGGGTTTTTCAGTGACGGTGAGGAGAGTGAGTTCCCGAGGCACGACCTGCAGCTGGTCACCAAGTTGTTGTCTAAAAGCTCCATCTCAGGCCGTGTGTTTTTTTTTTTTTCGCGCCAAGTTACAAGGGATTTGGGGATACAAGCACCTAGTACGTTGCTTTGATGTGAATATGTTTGTTGGGGGGTTCAATTGGTTGACAGGAGGTAGAGGTATTGGTTAGGACGGAACACTACACCGACTACACTTTACAACAGTTGTTGACTGTTCATCGAAACCTTTTCTGGTCCATGATGGTCACGCGATCCCATGCGGTCCCAGTCCGCCTGAAAGAAGGGAGAAGTCCTCAAGCAAAACCAGGGAGGTGGCATGGGTGATTTGGGTGGTGTGACCCTGCAAGTGGTTGGGCTGAATGTTCCGGGTGGTGCATCATTGTTTTCTTGGTGTTATATGATCAGCCAAAGCCATGCATATATACCTTCTGTTGAAAGGTGGTGCGAGATGGAGGCTAGATCTCACGCACTCACTAGTTTGTTTGCCACGGGGATCCACTGTTCTTTTCATTTCTTGGTTTTGCTCAAGTTGATTGTTGTTTTTTTCCCTATTGGGTAAATCCTTTCAATATTTGTTGTTTCCCGGGGTGTGGTTCGTTGTCCCGGTCCCGATCTGTAGCCTGGACAGGGGCCCCGAATCTCCGCCACGCCGTGGGGCGAAGATCAGTTGGGAAGGGGTTTACTTGGAGACCATCGCTAGGTTGGAGGCCATCGCTACGAACGGAACAAGAATCTATACTAGTAACCAGGGGCCCTCAAAACCATTAAACATAAAGGTTTTCTCATACCAAAAACAAGTGTTTTGCTATAGGGAAAACCTGGTTTTTGATGATTCGTGGGCCCCTGGAACGTAGTAGATGTACAGGGTACTGCCCAGAAGCGACCCTGGAGCCTCAGATGGAGAGATCGAAAACGGATTCCTCGGGGTGGTCTGGGGGTTTCTCACCAATCTGGGGGCGTAAAAAAAGGATCCAAGCCGTTGGTTCCAACAAGAATTGGGCTTTTGTGGAGGATTTAGTTCACACTTCGAGGACGAACATCCGGACATCGTTTGCTGACTGGGGCGGACGCAGCTCATTGAGCAGCTCATTGAGCTCCATTGCTGACTGTTCGCGCCCTGATCCCCGTGCCGCTCCGACTTTCCGGGCCCGGACTGCCTGGTTCTGACCGGTCTTGCTGCCCCTGGTTGCTTCGGTTATTATCATTACCTAGAAAACCCAAGTATGCAAAAAAAATGTAATCGTGTTCTTTTCCGGCAAAAAAGGTCATCTCAGCCAAGAAACGTCATTGTTTTGTAAAATGGTAGTTGCTGCGATCAAGCCAGTGGAGGGTATGCAATATTCATTTTTTCAGCTGCTTCCAATCCCAAATCCAGCCTCTTCTTACACCAAAAGGTAGTTTTTCACCTAAACTTAGGCTCTTTCAGTCGGTTCCGGCGAATGTGCAAGGATACACCGTACCTTTCGATGGCCCTTAGGATCACCTGCTTGCTTGCAACCTGTCTACTGACACGGCCGATTCTCCCAATAATAAGAACTTTGTTTGCACAATGCCATTTAACTGACACGCAAAATTTGGACAGTTTGACAATTTCCCTCGTCTCAAAAGTGGTGTGAGAAAGATTTGGCGCTTGGGCCGAAGTCATACACAACCTGTAACGCAGTGCGAGCCCCTCTTAAGGAATCGAAACAACTACTACAGCGAGTTAGCTGTGTTTTGCTCCTGCAACTGCTGGAGAAGGGTGTCTTCCTCATCAGGGGGCTGCACAACATCATGTGTCGGGCAGGGCATGCCTTCAAAGCCCTCACCTCACACAGAGTGGCGCAGCTCGAAACCAAGGAGTTGATAGGAGCAGGCGTGGCCACATCAAAGGAAACCTGCATGTACCAACGTACCAGAGGCCCCTGACACAGCAAAAAATTTTACATTCAAAACATCCAAACCGTGTCCGGCAATTTCCGCAATTTTTCCGGTGATTTCCGTCATTTGGACGGTAAATTCCGTAATTGTTTTTCGGCCACTCCTGCATGGAAATAAAAAAGTCCACTGAAAAAATGGAAATCTCAGCGATTGCAGATCGAGCTGGGTTTTGTTTTCCCTTGCCCCAAGCGTTTCTCTATTATTCAGCTTTGAATGATCACCGCAACTTATCCGAATCTTTCAGGCAAGATGGAATCAAGGCATTCCATGACAAGCTGTTGGGATAATTTGACACATCTCAAACACAGCATGCTCTCAGTGAAATTGGCTTCTGTCCGGTCGATTTCCAGGGCCTTCGCTTCGAAGTTCTTCGAGGGCAAAGGCAGAGCAGCTTTTCAACGTCTTGAAGTTTTGGCCACTCTAACCATGACTATGAACTAAATAGATAGAGCTCGACCACTTTGAAATGGTTTCGATGGCGATATGGATCTCCAAAGCAATCTTTGCAAAACGAGGAAGTTGCAATTTGTGCACAGGGGGCATCATGTATCATCTAAATGCCCTCTGGTGATTGCAACATCCTTTGTGTACAGAAAGTAAGTACTGGCGCCCTGTTCATTTGCCCACAACTCCAGACTGGAGATCTCAGACAGAATGGTCCCATGATTTCTCAAACAAACAGCAGTAAGTATGCAAAAGGTAACAAAAGGTAACCAAAATCCAAAAAGGTAATTGTTATACAAAAAATACATTTTCAACAAAAAAACTGTTTTTTCTGAAACTACATTTTTTTTGCATACTTTAGGTTTACTAGGTAGGCATGGAGGTGACAGGCGGCCTGGAGCTGGGATTTCCAAGTTTGCTCACGAGCTGAAGAAGCTGGTGATTCTTTTGTTTGGTTTCCTTAGTTCGATTCGTGGCACTGTAGAAGCACACATCCCTTCATTGACCTCTTGGCCTGTCCTTGTTACGCTAGGGTGAAATCCCTTCGAATCTCCCCTAAGAACCCGTGATTCGTTCTTACGCCACCAGGCTGTGCTAGGCCATCAGGCAACGCGACTCAACCGATCCGCGAGCGACTCAACCGAGCACGCTCCAGGCATCGTGGCGAACCTCGTTCAATTGCCTGATCTTTACGAGAAGATGGAGAAGGAAATCTCTTACTTCAAGCTACGCAGGTACACAGGGTTGTGACCCGAAAAGAAAGCCCAACCACTTCACGATGGAGGCGCGAATGGTGACTTGGTGACATGTTGACTTTTGATTGTTTCACATGCAGAAGAACCCCTGAACTTACAATGGGAAGACATACATATTCTTTGGGCTCTTCTTGGTTCGCGTCATTGCTTTGACATCGTACTGCGTCGGCGAATCCTGCCTTCACTGGCGATTGATACACATGCATCCCAAAAAGGCTGTGGCGGCAAATGCATATGTCTTGCTGTGATGCACAGATCACAGAATGGACTGTCACGTGGGTCAAAAGCTAAGTTGTGTTCATCCTTCTTGACCTAAAAAGAATTGACCCTAAAAACATTTGAACAATTACATCATACCTCCAATGTAGGCAAAGACTTCAGTCCTACAGAATGTTGTTGTTGCTCCTTCCAACAGAGTGTTGTTGTTTATTTTCATGGGAAGTATGCGACGCCTTGTGAAGTCTCATTAGTAAATTTAGTAATTAGCTCTGGACCTTTATTGTTTGGAAAGTGCTCCTGATTGCACGGGCAAAAGCGAGTTCAAGTACCTCCTCATGAAACGCTTGACGCTGTGCACAAACATGTTTGTTCTGCCCCAAAAGTTTTGATGTCCTATTAAGTTCACCAGTGGTGCCAAAGATAAAAAGACAGAAGATGCCGCTGGTGCATGTGGCTGTGTGGGATATATGATATATATATATATAGCAAGGGCGCACGAGCTGTCACTCAACCCCAGGTCGGACCTGGCCTAAGAAATCTTCTTCCGATGTCCGAGTTGGTATCAGGTTTGGACCTGAAGAAGGTCAGAGTCCCTAGTTTTTTGTCTTCTGTCCTATAGTTTCTAGAGGTTGGGTCTTGGTTTTAACTTTAACATACTTTAACTCTTCAATTTCGTGCCCCGGCTTGGTCCTCTACTGCTTAGGGCCTCAAACTGGGAGAAGAAACACAGAAGGAGAAGAGGAACTACATCCGTTCCGTTCACGGCTCCTGGCACTACATCCATCTTAAGGTGATTGGAATTCCTAGTTCCGTTCCGAGGTGATTGGGGTCGGTGCCAGGGGGAGCTAAAACGAGTCTTCTCGTTCGATGTGGCCGTAGGGAGGTAGGGAGTCTTCACCTGTTCTGAACGGCGTGGTTGGAGCGTGGTTTGGAAGGATGTCTGTGCTCTATATCCGAACGAAGGATTCAGGTGCTTCCTTGTATCCCAATTGAATCAACAGTATGACTGGGTGGTGGTTTCAGATATTGTCGACTGTGTTTCAACCACTTTGGAGGATTTTTCACCTGACTCATCTGCTTTTCACACCAAAACACCGAGTGGACCGCATGCTTTTTCCAATACCCTTTCGGGCTTGGACCCACGTTCGGTCTCCGACCCGTCGCCCCCGGGGCGCGACTGGGTCGTCACCGTGTGCCTTCGCACGCGCGAGCGATCTCCAGCGAAACTGGCCAGCTTGCGTCGTCAGTCGTGGCACTTCGTTGAAATAAGCCATCCCTAGCCATAGCAATCATACTGTCTATACTTACATGGGGTGCATCGATTCCACGATTCACCGGTCTGTTTTTAGTTGCACCAATTTACATTGGGGTCGTTTCAGGCATGCACCGACTTCAGACGAACTTCTTGGGGTCGAGCTTGGTCGAGCTCTGATCCAAGCTTTTTCCGGAGCTGGCGGGAGTTTGGGAGAAACGAGATCAGGTCCTTAGTATACCCTGAACTTCGGCATAGGCTATACCAGGGTTTGTCCACTGTAGGGGTTTGAGCGATCGTAAAAGGAGGATTGGTCTTATTTTAAATTTATGAATGCACCCACTTTCGGAAAGACTGCAGCGTTTGCCCGTCTTGGTCATTGGGTTTGTGGGGGCGCCGAGAGGATCGGACGACAATCGCCTCCCTAGACATGATGGGGCTCTGAAAAAAGAACACCAATCCAAATGTGAGATAGATTCACTAGTTAAACAGCTTTGGACTATACCATCACGTACATGATCATGACAGATGATTTGTTTGTGTAAAGTGGTGCTTCTCGATTCGTTGGATGAAGAACTGACCTTGACGGACGTTGGTAAAAGCTTCCTTGGGAATACCTGATCTGGGAGTCCCCCAGTCGTCCCGAGGATTCGATTCGGTTTGGTTTGCCGTTCCCAGAGGCTGTAGGGATGAGGTGTCTAGCCGCGGCCTCTGAAGCCCTACTCCAGTCGTACCTCCAAAGCTGTTTGGTATGACTGGACGTACCTCCCTGGCACCCGGGCCCCGGTCGTCCCACCGAAGTACTTGGAGGCCTAGGGAAGAGGAGGCCCTGCATTGTCCCAAAAACCGGACTTGGAAGATCCTGGTAGAGCTTTGTGCGGGGAACAGGAAGCATGTGCCATGGCATCTGGGGAGCTTCCCATCTCAGAAGCTGGTCGGTGTCCAAGCAGATCCACCTTGGATCCTGAGAGAGCTCGGATCCTGAGGTTGTAAAGAGAAGCTGTGGTTCCTTGAGGAGTTGGGACCTGAAGAAGTCGTGACCTATTGGAGTCCCTGGACTTGTGACCTCTGGGGTCAGCCATTGGGATCTCAACAAACACACATCAACTGAAGCTCTTGTGGCAGACCGTTGGTTTCGGACTGCATGGTCCGATCTGGTGTTCCTGTGGGTTGAACCCATTGCCATGATCTCGAAACAACATCAACATGAGACTGGAGAGGATTGACCCCATGTTGATCCCTATATGTATAAACCATCTGAACAAACCACCTCAACGTAGGATAGAAACTGATTTCCGAAGTGCCCAGCTGAAAGTGAGCTGCGCCGTTGAAAGTGCGCAGTCTGCCTGGAATTTTCAGTGACCGGAAGAACTTGGTCGGAAGCCACCGTAGGCTGTTCCGGCGGTCACGTTCGGTGCACTCTGCTGATTGGCTCCGGCGATCCCGCGAGCTGGCCAACTGGCGAGTTCGTTGGGCTGGGATCTCTAGCTCACCTGAGACTGTCAGGTTCCGAGACCAAAAAGAACGCAAACACCAAGTCACCTCAGAAGTGAGAAACGTAGCTCAGAGAACATATTAGTTTTCTTACTTTTTTTCATAAACTCACTGGGACCAGATTGAAACATGTGGATTGTAATTTCCAACTTCAGAGATCCCACAAATCTCAGACCTAAAGATTAAGAGAGGTTACTACTGGTGACCTTGCTTTCTAGAGGCTGTTTCTAGCAATCTCTCGGAGGGTGCTGGTAGAAGGGAGGCTGAAAGTACGCGTGCCAAAAATCATCGAAACCGGTCGTGACTTCAGATCCGGTGTCGGGAGGCTTATTTGTTTCCCTATGGTCAAAGACTGAACTGAATGGAGTTGGTCATACCGTCATACAAGTCGAACAGTACAAACATGAGATGTTCAGGATCTGGTTTTACTTGGGTTTTTGGACCTTTATCAGGATTTCTAAGCCTCCTGCAGAAAAGATCCCCCAAAAAGAAGCACTACTGTAGAGACCCTCAGTACGAAGAAGGGATCACGATCGACTGGATATCCTAAACCCCTACGACTCCAAGGTCCACCTGAGACCGTGTTTGGAATACGTTTGGAGGATGACGCTCCGTTCACCGCCCTTTCCTGGCCCCTCAACACCTAGGGATTGGTGAGAAACCCCAGACCTCTCTGGATTTGGGTCCAGGGTCGCCGACCCTGGGTGAGAAGGTCATTCAAGCGTAGGGAAAGTATGTTCACAGCCAATCAGTTCTTCAACGTAGTGCTGGAATCCATCACGCAGATGCGTCCGACTCTCAGTATCTCCATCTCTTTCCCGTCGTGCGGACATCTTCGAATTGACGCCGACATCTGAGCGATATCGAAGCATTTGGCTGGGAGGTATAAACTATAGAACTTGAACCCTCCAAAGTGAAATTGGTACTTGAACCAAAGTACCTCCGGGAGCCTAACGCCTTCAAAGACGACTGAACGAAAGGTTGACCTAGTTTTGCAGTCTAGAATCCTTATAACTAAAACAATGCATGTTCGGTAAAGACCATTAAAACAATGGCAGTTTTTCATCCCGGCCAGGGATTGACTTGGACCCTCCAAAGTGTGCATAAAAAAGCTTCAAAGACGAGTTTCAGGTTCGCGGTTTGCGTCGCGTCGCGGTTTGCTGCGTGGCTTCAGTGGTACGGTACGACACGAACTCAAACCGGCTTTGCGGATCGGGTTTGCTTCGGGAGATGGCTGTCTTCTGCAGGTTTTCCACGCTTTTGGGTGAACCTTCGCAGGTTGAGGATCTCAATGTAGCTTTCGATGGTCCGCAACAGTGAAGTCAAGGGCGATTTCCCGGTCGTTGGACTTGGGTCTTTGAAACCCGGTTGAACAGCAAATCCCGGAAATGGTGTGTTCAAGCCGAATCAGGTCTCGATCTCGGTCGGATGTATACGACTTCATAGGCCGGTTGGGCCGACAGACAGACGATCCATGTCCGGTTGGGGATCCACAGATCCACCTTCTGAGGTACGTAGTGAGGACGGTGCCAGCCAGTCGGGCCCAGTCATACCGCACCTGAGAAGGCATGTGGATCCAAAGGGTGTATGAAAGAGTTATAGCTACATCAGCCCAATGACCAGGAGTCACATGTCGGGGTGGTTTTTAGTCCCCAAGTGAGTGGATAATGGGGACCCATATCCTCCAATACGCACCCTTTGTGACTGCTGGCGGCTGGCATGTGTCTATTTTTGTCAGTTTCAGGTACTCTTCTTTCGCACAGGTGTCCAATTCGCCCTACTTAGGTTGATTCTATGCGCGAAAGATGGTCTCTGTCCAAATGTCTTCGTACCACACAGACAGACTCGGACGTGAGAACATGTGCGATGGAGACAGGCGTCCGAAGATGGTCCAAGACAACGCCGTTGGGAGAGGCATGGAGTTGGCAGAGAAGATCCGAGAAGCTTTTAAGGTATTCTGCAGCTCACATTGAGTGAGCCAATGTGTGGTTCAGCTGTTGGTGTCTTGAGACACACCAGCGACTCTGCACCAGGTCTGAATTTGTCAAGTGAAGCGTGGCAGAAACGCAGTGTGTGCCCTGGAA